GATGTGTTTCCTATAAAAACTGTATCTGCATTTTTATGTATCATCACCTCTATTCCTTTCCTTTTTATGATACTCCCCAGACCTTTTACATTGAAAGTTAAAATTCTTAAAATTTAACCATTTCTGGTCTCATACAGTGTTAACTCCTCCAGATATATCCACAAACTAAATCCCAAACACCTTAACCCTTTATCCATTTTATTCCACATGCATCCCAAACCCCCATCCCCACACAAGAAATACATCTTCCCCTTTCTTTCACTGGGATTCCAACCACCGCTTCTTGCCAAACCCCTCAGGGGAAAGTAACCACCCACCATCCCAAGCAGAAGTCACTCAAAGCTCCCCAATCCTCAATATTTACTATACCCTTCTCATATATTGAGATAATATTCACATCATCGTTTAGTCGTTTAGTCGTGTCTAATTCTTTGTGACCCCATGGACCAGAGCATGCCAGGCCCTCCTGTCTTCCACTGCCTCCCGTAGGAAGACATACTCTTATCTAAAACTACCTTCTGTTCCCATCTACCCTGATTTATGTAGGTGAGATCTCCATCTTATCGATGCTTTATCCTAAACAGTTATTCACCCAACTTCTTTTCATAAATTCTAACCACTTACAATGCATTTAAATATATCCAACTAATCAAGTGTTAATCATTTAAACAAGTAATCTCCTAGAAGAATCCACTGTTAATTTCAAAATAAATTCTAACCCATCCATTTTTTTATCCTCTACGTTTGTTTTAAAAATACATTTTTATTTTTATTTTTCTCCATTAAATGTTGTCTTTTTAAGGGTGGACTAAAAAACATAGTATAACCTTATTTTGCTAGTTTACATTTCTTCTTATCTATTTCTTTTATGTTCTGAGGGTGGGTGGCCCCGTGGTTGGTGGCTTGGGTGACTCTCTCACATTTGGGGGGGGTGACCCTGGCCGCGAAGAGTGGGGTCTGCAGCCTGGGGGTACACTTGGACCCGACACTCACCATGGAAACACAGTTGGCGTCGGTAGTCCGTACCACCTTCTTCCACCTTTGGCGGATCGCCCGGCTGCGGCCCTATCTCTACACGGGGGCGCTCACTACCCTGGTCCACACGCTCATAATCTCAAGATTAGACCACTGTAATGCGCTCTACATGGGGCTGCCTTTGAGGCTGATGCGGAAACTTCAAGTGGTGCAGAATGCAGCAGCCGGACTCCTCAGTGGCGTGAGAAAATACCAGCACATTTCTCCCACGCTGGCCATGCTGCATTGGCTGCCTATTTGTTTCCGCTTCGACTTTAAAGTTTTAATGCTCACTTATAAGGCCCTAAACGGTTTAGGACCTTGATATTTGGCGGAAC